CCGCCTCCCATGCCGAGACCTGCGCCCATGCCCAGGCAGCTGCCGCCGCCGCCGCCGTAGGCCATCCCGCTCGAGCTGCTGACCACGGCTGCAGGGAGACACGGCACACGCCCGCTTTAGGGTCCTGCCGGCTGCCCAAGCCGGGGGGACCTCCACCACCGCCCCTGCGGCAGAGGGAGAGCGAGCAGGGGTGGAAGCAGGGGAGATACTTACAGACGCTCACGGCTCCGACTCCCTCTCCAGCAAGCCTGTTGGGAAAGGGGAAAGTGAGCAACAATGCTAAAGCACAGACAAGATATAACGTTATCCACGGGTACCATCTAGTTAGACTTTCGTGGCCTTCGGTAGGGGCTGTCCTCTCATGGGGTATGCCTGCATCGCAGGTGAAAGGTGATATTGCTCATTTTTCTTAGTGCGTCAGGTTCCAAGCACTAGAGAAACTCATCTTTTTCTAGAAAGCTCACAATTTAAAGTATCCCTCTCTCTGTCCTTTTACATCCTGGTGCTCTTTTACATCTTCAGCAACTTGGTGCTCCAGCCCGTTGACGTAAGCTGTCTCTTTGAGCCCAAGGAGATGCGCCCTGCTCTGAAGAGCAGCACACGACAGGTCCTTGTGCTTGTGCTCACCTGCTCTCCTCGCCCTCCAGCAGCTTCCTGTAGGTCGCGATCTCGATGTCCAGGGCCAGCTTGACGTTCATGAGCTCCTGGTACTCGCGGAGCTGCCGGGCCAGGTCGGCTTTAGCCTTCTGCAGAGCATCTTCCAGTTCGGACAGTTTGGCCTTAGCATCCTTGAGGGCCAGCTCCCCACGCTCCTCTGCCTCAGCGATGGCTGCTTGGAGGTTGGCACACTAAAAGCAAGGGAAACATGTAGTTGTTTAACTTGGGCTACCCCAAACTGCTCTCCTGAGTATTGCTATGGTATTGTAGATACTGATTCCCAGCATGGCACTGAGAGCTCCTGGTGGGCCATTGGGAAGGTGCCGTAGGGTGGGTAACGGGGGAGCTGCAGCCACAATCCTGTCCCCCAAGAAAAGGAGAGACATCTCCATCTCATTGCTTTGCTACACACCTTTGCTGGGGTGGCTTAGTAGCTCACAACTTGCTTCCCATCAAGAAAGCAGCTATCAGCACATCCTTGCGCTGAGGGACCTTCTCCGGTGGGCAGAGACAGAGGTGTCCGTGCCCGCTTTAATGCAGGGGAGGAAACCTGGCCTTCCAGCCCTGCTCCAGTGCCAGGAGCTGGCTCTTTCTGCCGTGCCTGGCCACCATCACTTCCTACCTGCCTTCCACCATGCAGCAGCTGCTCTGCAGGAGCATCCCCTCCTACCTGTTTCTTCACGCTCTCGATCTCGTTCCGCAGCCTCTGGACCATCCGGTTGATCTCCGAAATTTCTATCTTGGTGTTACGCAGGTCGTCACCGTGCCGCCCGGCAGAGACCTGGAGTTCCTCGTACTGATACATAGAAAGGAGGAGAGTGCTGGTTAGGCACCACAGGATTCAGGGAAGTGTGAGGGGACTTCAGGGAACAAAGCGCAGGTCTGGATGCAGGGTAAGGGTTGGGGACAACGTTCCTCTGAGCAAACCTGCCTGTGGAATAACAGCATTTGCCCTTAGTTATCAATATATGCTAAGCCAGCAACCATTGCATTGCATAGAGCACCTATGGGTTGTCGCCTACTGTTAAGAACCTGTGAGGAGCGTTCTGTGTCTAACGCCAGATCCACCAGTGACTCCTTGTGAGCTCAGGGTCAAGGCATTTAAGCGTCTTGTCCCTTAGTTTCACTCCAAGGAATGTAAGGCTGGTCAAGAGTAGGGGTCCACAAGCGAACGCTGGGAATCTGTATGCAAGAGCCTACTGCAACGTGCATAGAAAATAAATTAATCCCTGGTGTAACGCTGTGATACTTCCTCCGTTAGTCCTGCCTCCCATCAGCTAGTGTGATGCCATATGAATCACATAAATTAGTCTGTCATTCTGGTTACCCACCTTGTTTTGGTACCAAGCCTCGGCCTCAGCCCGGCTCCGGTTGGCGATGTCCTCGTACTGTGCTTTGACCTCTGCAATGATGCTGTTGAGGTCCAAGTTACGGTTGTTGTCCATGGACAGAACCACGGAGGTGTCAGATACTTGCTGCTGCATCTGGGACAATTCCTGCAGAAGATGCAAAAAATGAAGTCAACTATCTGGTATCTGGGGTGGAAACCATGCAGACACGGTGGCTTGGGGGCTCTCTCTGCCAAGCCATTTTCTTGCATTTCCCCCTGCTGTGTCTCTGCCTTTCATCTACCCTTATCTATCTTATGCCTGCATTACAATTTCTAAAAGGCACTGACCACCTTCTCTTTTACTGCTGTACAGCACTGAGCGTGGTGGCCAGAACTCCGGGGCGTGGAGAGCAGCACGGCAGGGAGCTGTGGAGGACGCTATCGTGGGGAGGGCCAACTGCTTACCGCTTCGTAGAGAGCTCTCAGGAAGTTAATCTCATCTGCCAGCGCATCTGCTTTGGCCTGCAGCTCAACCTTGTTCATGTAAGCACCATCCACATCCTAAAGAAAAGAAAGCCAAAGACTCCCGGTGAAACCACAAGTAAAAAGGACTTCAGGACACCAGTGGGACCATTTCTCTGCTTCCAGGTCTGTTAGTTTTTTGGTTTGTTTTCATATTGCTGTGATCAAGGTGGGTTTTTTTCCAGTGTAATGTTGGACATTTACTGTGAGCCAGGACCAGGTTCCTGGGCAGAAGGCAAAGCTCTGACTCATGGGGATGTGACCCAAGACACAGTTGAACCAAGCCAGAAGAGGCCAGGTGGTCTGCAATTGCAACCAGAGCAGCTATCTTCAGAAAACAGGGCAGCTCCATCGGCATGGAGAAGGTAATGCCCGTTTGTGGCCTCAGGAGGACCCAACCCGTACTTACCCCTAGACATGCCAACATCATAGCCTGACCCAGCTGTGAGGTTTGAAGGACCCCAGCTCCCACCAGCTTTGCTTGAACTCTGTGCATGCTGAGTTCATTACATTGCCCGTCACGTAACTGCCAGTTCACTCACCTTTTTGAGGACCACGAACTCGTTCTCTGCACCGGTGCGCCGATTGATCTCATCTTCATATCTGTTAGGATAAAAGGGTGAGAGGGTTTTGGTGGAAATGAAGAGCAAAGCCAGCATGGGAAGCAGAGACAGGACCACTCCAGTCCCAAATCATTAGTTGTGGCTCACAGATATATTCCTTACTCCCACCTATTAACAGCCCAGAGCAGATGCAGAGCAATTGATCACTGATTCTGAGCCTCCAAGGCTCCAGCTAAAATTAATAGATTTTAATCACTGCTCCTAAAGTCAAGTTCATACATAAATGTGTGCAGGAACACATTTCCTGCCTGTTTCGGTAGGAAGCGGGAGCAGGTATTCCTGGTGACCTTTGCCCAAAGCAAAGTTATGCAAAAGGCTTTCAGCGAAGCTGCATTGCAATTCCTACAAATACATAATCATGTAACTATTTGATATTTGATATTATAATAGTGCTAAAGGCTCCGAACAACCCACTGCAGCATTTAATTGAAAAAAAAAGTCTGTGATTCCCTAGTCGTGGTTGTACAAGAGCAGATCATTATGCCTCAGACTATGTTTCCGTGGAACTTTTTATGGCTCTGAGCAAGATCCTCTCATCAGATAATCAGGGCAGGGCTCAGCTAGAAAGCAGACAAACATGTAGGCTGTTGGGGCAAAGACCTGGATTTTAAAGGCAGGTTCGTGCCACTCCTCTAACTAATATTGGCAGAGATATCCCTGCAGATGGATCTCTCGAGCGGACATGGGAAGAAGCAGAAATTAGCCAGTGGACTGGGAACCAACTCTAGATTTGAGAGTTTTCTTTCCCAGGCAGCAACTCCAAAATCCAGACAATATAATTTATCACTTTTGGCCTGAGCAGTATTTCTAAAAGCCTATAATACATATTGAGACCTGAAATGCACCGAAGTACAACGTACCAGAAGCTATGTCAGTCCACCCTGTCAGCTCTAAATGCCATCTCCCCAATCCCCCCCAAAAAAATCTGTCTCTTCACATGCATTACTGTCTAATACAAACATATTTCAGGCCTCCAGGATGTTTTTATCAAATTTGCACTTGGCCAAATCTGGTTGAATAAGGGAGAGACTGTTCTCGCCAGACTACAGCCAAGTAAAAATGAACGGCCTCGCCTAAAAAAAACACCTAAATGTTCCTTATAGTCAGCAGACACAGACTGGTATTTGCTTAAAATGATTCATCCCACCTCTGCTAGACGCCTTATCTCGGGATGGGATTAATTGCCTCCCCAGGGAAATCGTTTTCTTTGACGACGGTCAGAGAAAAGAGCTGAGCGTGTTTCACGTGGTGGGAGCCGAGCGAGGCCGAGGGCGCGCAGGGAGATCTTACATGTGGAAAGGCTGGGATCTCCTTTGCAGGAAGAGGAATGGGGGATTTTGGAGCTGGCCGTTTATGGCTATGTTTCATTCCATTTTTGCATGTCCATTATACTCATGAGGAATGCGTTTTTCTATTGCCAGGTGTATTATTTTGGGAGGCTCAAGGGATCAGGCCGTGACCTCCATTACACCAGAGCAGCTTCCCACGGGTGCACGAATTCTGTGCTAGACGCTGATCCTGCACATAAGAAATCTGACACAACTGGAGGTAAATGAGACCCAAGTTTTGCTTTTATGTCTTCATTGTGCAAACGGGAAGAGGAACCCCGTGCAAACACAAGGCGTGCACCGGCACACGTGAACCGCCTGCCCTGATTTTCCCCTCTCTTAATCATATATGCTACCGAGCACAATTTCTTACTTGTTCTTAAAGTCTTCCACCATGTCCTGCATGTTCCTCAGTTCAGAGTCCAGCCTTCCCCTCTCTCCCATGAGGCTGTCTAGCTGCCGCCTGAGGTTGTTGATGTAGGCTTCAAAAAGGGGCTCGAGGGACTTCCTGGTGACTGTGTGACCCTGCTCTTGCAGGAGGCTCCACTTGGTCTCCAGCACTTTGTTCTGCTGCTCCAAAAAGCGCACCTGGAGAAACAAAAACAGGCACATGCTGAAGCCCATGTGAACCATGCACAAAAAAACCTGCTGCCAGGAAAAGGGGGGACCATTCAACAAAGGAAGGAAGGTGAAAAGGCGCCGGGACAGTAGGGGGGAAATTACTAGGATCTTCCTAATTTAATGCACAGGATTCTCGAAAGAATTAAAAGCAGCTAAGACGTTTAGTGAGATTTTTCAAGAGCTATTAAGCAGGCCAAACACATGTATTTGCAACGTGAGGTGTTTCTCCCTCCACAGATGCTCAGCCCACCTTACTGGTTTAAGTTGGTGTTACCCCATTGAGTTGTGTAGAACTTTGCCATTTTACAACCAGTAGCAGATCCATCCAGCCCCCAGGATGTTTTTTACAGGGAGGAGCAGGATTTACTTTTTCAGTAAAATAAGGCGCTGATAAACTCATCTTTACAAAGAGGAAACATAAGACAGTTCTTAGTTTTCAGCCAAACCCACGCTGTTTGTCTGCTGGGATTAGTTCAGGCAAGCCCCTAAATCCAAAGGAAGTTTCTTCCCGTTGTTCTTTCCCGAGGCAACTGATAATATGCATGAGTTGATGTTTAAGACGAAACTCTCACCTTGTCGATGAAGGAGGCAAATTTGTTGTTGAGGGTCTTGATCTGCTCCCGCTCCTGTGTTCGCACCTTCTGGATTTCCGGGTCGATATCCAGCTTGAGGGGTGCCAGGAGGCTCTGGTTGACGGTCACTTCGTGGATGCCACCAGGTGGGCAAACAGGGAACCCGGGGCCACCTCGGCCACCAAATCCGGGACCTCCCAGCCCAAATCCACTGCCCAGCCCATAGCCGCCACCACCACCAGCTCCTCCTAAGCCAAAACCAGCACCTGCTCCACCACCATAGCCAAGACCAAAGCCAGCTCCTCCACCAAAGCCGTATCCACCACCGGCTCCACTCCGTAGACCTCCACCGACTGAGCTGTAAGAAATTCTTTTGCTTCCACCTAGGTTATAGAGACTTCTGCTGCCAAAGCCACCACCAGCTCCAAAGCCACCTCCACCTCCGGCTCTTCCTCCTCCAACTCTGGAGACAGAGACGGAGCTAAAACTGCTTCTGGTACCACTGCCACCTCCTACAATAGCAGAACCTGAGCTAAAGCCCCTCATGCCCCCTCCAGTAGATGATCTGAAAGAGATCCGACTCATGGTGGCTTGTTCAATTGGAAGGGCAAAGAGCAGGAGAGGAAAAAAAAAAAGACTGAATAAAAGCTGTGCGGCAGGAAAAGAGCAGAGGGCAATGGAGACAGAAACCCCTGTGATGGGAGAGCTTGGGAGCCTCCTCTTTTATCTGCTTGGAAAACTTGGCACGGGAATTCAGAACTTGACGTGCCTTGCAGCAACTTGCCTTGTCAAACACACCTAGGCTACAGCGAGGCGCTGAAAAATGCATTGTTTGCAGGCAAGAAAGTAACGGAGTGAGGGAGCTCCCCCCACCAAAGCCTGCCGCTCTGAGTCATGAAATCAGAACTGAATGGGACGACTCGCTGAGGTCCGCGCTCGGGAGCAGGACGCAACACGATTCTGCCGAGACCCTGGGAGCCGGTTTTCCTCAGGCGAGCCGAGGGCTCACCCGTTTGAGCAAAGGTTCCCTGCGCTGAAGCTTTTGCGAGGCGAAGTTTAGGGTTTAACGCATTGCACAGCAAACGGGGCAGCACGAACAGGGGCTGTTCTGAGGCTGCACATCCGTGTCGTGTTACTGGCTCGGGAAGCTGGGGCTGAAGGTGGTTTTACTTATCAGTGCAGCACTTCTGATTTCTTTCGGAAAAGGGATCTAAATGATTGTGGGCTTGCAGAGAACAGCTGAGTGGAAGTTGTCTCGTGGTTGTATTTCCTGGGCTCTTACCAAAAAAATTGTTTCCCCTCATTGCAGGGGACAGTTTTCAAAGACAGCAACTAAATCCCTTTTCCAAAATAACTTCAAACTACAATAAGTAGAACTACAAGACTTATTAAAAAGATGCTTGAAATGATTGCTCTTCTTTTGAATCTCCTTGTCAGGCTCAGTGTTCAAAAGCTCCCTGTGAAGTGGTATTTTTATAATTTTTTTTTTCCCGCCCCCCATATTTAACCAGCGGTTTCCATGTCGTTGCTGGCTTTCCAAGACATTCTGTAAAGGGGAATTTACCCGCTTTTCTTCCAGCTCTCTCCCACCCCCTCCTTCACTTTGCTGAGATCATTCAGCCCCCGAGGAAGATTTTTCTAAAATGGCCTTTGCCCCCCTTGCAAGGGAACTTCAATCCCCCGGTGAGGCTGGGTTGTGCTTTGGGACGCTGTAAAGGCAGGAGAGCCGGGCACCTCTTCTCTCGTGTCCGTGAAGAGCTGGACACGGGTTACAAGAGAAGATATCCCCT